TTTTCCTGCAAAAGACCACATCAGCAATATTTCCAAATGAACTTCTCCTCAATGCAGTCAACATGTTCCTTCGAACCATCAGATGGGCACCACTTCCGTCCTCCGACTTCGAACAACTTGAACTTTCCTTTTCTTTGGCCCAGTTCATGGCCAGTTGTTGTTGATATTCCCGGACTTCACCTAGTGACAATGGATTTAGCGGGAACTTCCGGTCGCCTCTCTTGAACCGATAACTGTTGTGTCTTCCATCATGAATAGTTCCTCGATCATATTGCCATGGAAGACCCAATAAGATATTATCAGCCTGCATTGGAGCAACATCACACCAAATCTCATCTGCATAATCACCGATCTGAAAACAAACCTTGGCCTTCTTGTTGACTTTGATATTCCCATAATCGTTCAGCCAATGCAGAGTGTATGTTTGAGGATACTTGATGGTGCTCAATCTCAACTTCTTGACTGCATCCAAACTAATCACATTGGTGCAGCTACCACCATCGATGACCACAGACAACACCTTCTCGTCGACCAGCCAACGAGTGTGAAAGAGATTATCCCTATGCTCTGTCTCTATGTAAGCTTCAATAGATAAAGCTCGACGGTTCACCCCAAGAAGTTTACCTGTTGGAGGTTTCTCAGCCTAGATGTGCTCATCCATATCATCATCTTCAGAATCAACATCAGAACCGAATCCATTACCCATGGGCATCTCTTCATACTCCTCCTCGGAAAAGTACTCTCCATCTGGCAAGACAAGAGTCTTCTTGTTGGGGCACTGGTTAGCCTTGTGACCTCGACCAAAGCACTTAAAGCACTAGATGCTTCCAGTTGAGCCTTCATTCCTGGCTTGAATGATTGGGGTTGTGTTCCTTACAGCTAACTTGTCACCTTCTGGCTTAGGGTGATTCATGTTAGCCTTAGGAAGGTTCTCTACAACAGGTTTGGGTGAAGTTGGGTACCTTCTTCCCGAGCTCACCTTCAGCTGTCTCTCTACCTTCATGGCCAAATGCACCGCTTCCTCCAACTCCACAAACTGACGAAGCTCCACTTCATTCTTGACTTCCCTATTGAGCCCATGCAGAAAGCGAGCAATCGTTGCTTCCTTGTCTTTCCTCACATATGCTCTCATCATGAGCAGTTCCAGCTCTTTGAAGTACTTATCTACAGAACGTGCTCCTTGCTAAATTCCTTGTAAGGCATCATGGAGATCTCTCTGATAGAAAGGATGCACAAAACGATCACGCATCAAGTCTCAAAGTTCTGCCCAAGTAGAAACTTCAGGCTGCAGATTCCTTCTTCGTCGTTGTTGAATGTTTTCCCACCAAATTGCTGCATAATCTGTAAACTCATATGTGGCTACAATAACTTGTTGATGCTTTGGGTAAGGATTGCACTGAAAAAATATAATCATCTTCCTCTCCCAGTCGAGGTAAGCTGATGCACTATTAGTGCCTTGAAACGAGGAAATTGAGAGCTTAATCCCTCGAATCGGCTCAATGCCATAACCTCCTGCTTCCGGTGGTCTTCCTCCATACTCATAATAATCATTCTCATAGTCATTAAATGGAGGTATGTTATGTGGAATTACCTGACGACGTTGCTCCGTGTATTGGCGCCTCTGCATTTGCCAATCTGGGGTCTCAGGAAAAGCTTGGTACACTCGATCTGCACTTGGAGCCTCTCGATTCGCGGCTCCAGTCTGAGCTTCGAAAATTACCGGATTCTCCGGTGGTAGTGGATTACCCATTGGTTGGTCTCCAACCTAGCGACTAGGGTATCCAATATCCGATTTGTCTCAACCAGCTGACCTTTGGTAGCGCCCTGTTGGGCCTGAAGCAAGGCTCCCATCTGCGCCATTGATGCCTAATTGTACATATTTTACCCCCGTTTTCCTTAGGCGTTTGTGGCAATTGTGCTCCTAAAAGGGTAGTTTTACGTGAGGTTTCCTGTGTTTTAGCATGTTTTGGGATTTAACAGGTGAAACCAGCCCCAGAGTCGAAGGTTGGACGAAAAGGAGCGAAAACCGGGAGAAGAGGTGAAAAACCGGCAGTTCACAGTTTCTATTGGAAGTTCACGGTCTGTTAAGACCGTGAAGAGGAGTTGTTGCCCGTGAACATCAAGGCATCCAGGGCCAAAACTGAAGTTACCGACGCTATGAAAGTTCACGGTCGCTAAGACCGTGAACTGGAGTTGTTGCCCGTGAACCTGTGCAAGCGAAGCGGTGCGTTTCGACGCCAACCTTGAGTTCATGGACGCGTTCAAGAGTTCACTGCCGTGAACTAAGGCCGTGAACTGAGCTCGATCCCTGTTTAAAAGGAGAGCTGAAAGGAAGAGAAAGGGAGAGCCCAAGAGTGAGAAAATGTCTTCTTCTTCAGATTTTAGAGAGATAAAGAACGAACCAAAGAAGAAAGAAGGCTAGGGTTTGCTCCAAGTAGTGAATTGGGAAGATTCTCCCCAAGAGAACTTCAACACAAGCTCAAAGGAGATTGGAAGCATCACCATGATGGTTTCTGCCTCTTCCTCCTGTATTTCTCCCCCTTCTAGCATGGAGTAGTTTCCTTTTTCACTTGGGTGTTGTGAAACCCTAACTATTCGTCATGTAGTTGTTATGTGAATTGAATGATTGTTTATGGGTGTTGTTTAATTCAATGATTGAGATATTTTTCATGTTGATTGTGCATATTTGTGCTTAGCAATCTAATTGGCTATTCTAATTTACCTAGATTAGAGGGGAAACCCCCTTTCAAGGGAGGCACAATTGAGTTGGGAATCCTAGGGCTTCTCAAGCCACCTATCTAGGTTAGTGTAGGGCAAACCTCGATGTTGAATTAAGCAATTTGGTTAAGCGCGATTAAGTCGACCAACCATTGGGTTGAGTGAGGGAGTAACTCAACCATCGATTGCCTTAACCGAGAGGGCCACTTGAATAGCCTATAATGTATCCCTCGGTTTGGCAATCGAGAGTGTGATCTACGACCATATTTGCGTCCCCTAGCGGTTCGCGGTCACCTTGCCCATAACCATCACTTCGATTCACATACCATGGTAGTAGTTAGGGGGAAGCACACCCGAGTGATCCTTCTCACAAAGAGCTTTCAAAACCATTTACTTTTGTCTTTCTTTACTTTATTTAGCAAACTTTTCAACCAAAACCGATTCGCTAGATAATGATTCAAATGACTGAAGTAGGGGTACACGGACCGACCCGAGTCGATATTTAAACATACTTGCCCTGTATTGCACGCGACTAAGGTTTATACTTGGACCTTAGGCGGGAATTAATTGTGATATTCGGAGTGAGTCAAGTTTTTGGCGGGGCAAGCAGCTTAATAGCTTTGGCAAGATTCTGACTCTGCTCTCCCATGACTGGTTCTTCAATTGGGGTTTCTCCTTCAGAGAGTGATTCCTCCTCTTCTCTGCGTTCTGCAATCGGATATTTGGACCTCGTTCGACAAGCAACAGGTCCTCTCGCTTTCGATCCTGCCAATGTGTTGAACCGGGGCTCTGATACGAGCACGTAGCATGTACATGTAGTTATCAAAGTACGCAGCTTCAAGAACGAACAATAGAACGTATGTTTAGGGGTTTTTGTTTGTAAGGATAAGGTGGAATTGAAAGTACAATCTCAACACAAATTTGGGAGAAGACTCAATCAATATAAAAGATAGAATCTCGACCACAATCAAGGGGAAAAATTGATTGATATAGAGAAAAAAAGTTCAAGCCTCAAGCTCAAAACTAAGATAAAAATCAATATTCTGCTAAAAACTAACCCTAAAACTCGAGTTTCAGCCTTTATATAGGTTTGGAAAATTAGAAATAACAAAAATAGCTTAAACACACAGATTTTCGTCACCCAGGCAAAATACCCGGTCGGGTATTTAGCCTCCACGGCTGATGGGCCTTCTGCCCAAAGGAGACCGGTTGCTGCCAAAATACCCTGTAGGTGTCCCAAAATACCCGGTCGGGTATTTGACTTCATTGGCCGGGTATTCCCCCCCTCCGCCAAGCTTCCTTCCGCTGCTTGGACTCGCATCACAAACACTCTACACTTCGAGGATGGAGGGAGAATGAGATGTATGATGATATAGATCAAGAACCAACTTTTTTAAAACATCTCTATTTGACTTACTTGTACAAGCGACCGAGCTAAAGAAGTGTGTTCATAATTCATCTCTTCCAAATATTCGCTTATAAGAAATTAGCCTTAAAAGTTGTAACAACACTTAATTTGTCCACATGATGCTTAAGGTTACAATATATATGCTCTCGACCTTATATTGACTTGCACATCAAAGAGTTCTCAGCCAAACATAAATCGAGAACACTGAATGCAACCTGAAAATCTTGGAATCTGGTGCCCAAAATGATAAATTGAAATCAAACTAATATGAATTACTAGAATGAGTATACCGGAAAATACTGATACATTAGAGCTTCATTCCTAAAATTTGAATAGTCGATAGCATCAAGCTCTAAAATTTTACAAACATATCTTACAAAAGTTGCGAGTTAAAAGCATATATGAAGCACTAACATTACATTAGTAAGAATTAATCTCATTGTTTTGTTGTTCTTTTCATCTTTACCTTAATCAGCAAGGTTCCTCTTCGTGAAAGTAAGGAAATGGGAACGAACAATCGAACAAAAACAGAATGCAGGACAAATTCGTCAATTAGAGAGAATGACGAGAGAGAAACAGAGAGGGGAAAGGAAACAAAGCAAAGAGGTGAACAATAAAGAAAAGAAGAAAACAAAACCCCAAGCATTCATTTCTCCTTCTTGTCATCTTCGATAACCTCCAAATTCAGGCCCCCATTACCTCTTTACCCACCCCAATCCCCATCCTCCTCTCTCCTTTACCTTCTCCTTCTTCTTCTTCTTCTCCCCTCACCCTCTCTGCCATTCATTCCTCCCTTCTTCAACCCCTCGTCATTTCCCTTCTCCCTCTGCAACACCTCAACTTTCCCCCCTTTTCCCCTCTCTCATCTCCCACCATGAAGCGCTCTCTCGAGGCCGATTCAGGTTCCGAATCTAAGAAAATCAGGCTCCAGGAGGATGAAATTGCGGCAGATTCACCCGATTCGGGAACTGGGTTCATGAATTTGGACGAGAATCTGCTGTACGAGGTGCTGAAGCACGCCGACGCGGCGACCTTGGGCCGGGCGGCCTGCGTGAGCAAGCAGTGGCACCGGACCGCACAGGACGAGCGGCTGTGGGAGCTGATCTGCACCAAGCACTGGGCTAACATCGGCTGCGGCAACACCCAGCTTAGATCCGTGGTCCTCGCCCTCGGCGGGTTCCGCCGCCTCCACTCCCAGTACCTCTGGCCTCTCTCCAAGCCCCAATCCAGCAGCTCTGCTTCTGGGTCATCGTCGTCTGCGTGGGCTCCCTTCCCGCCGATGATCGGCGCGAAGCCGCCGGCGAGGTGGGGGAAAGACGAGGTGCATCTCTCCTTGTCGCTGCTCTCAATTCGGTACTACGAGAAGATGAATTTTGGTAACCGCGGCAGGTAGATGAACCAGCGGTTCACCAACTCCAATTACTATCATTACCACCCAGCTTAAATATATATAGGAGGAAGAAGAAGAAGATGGCTTTTTTCTTCTTGTTGGCTACTGAAACTCTCAATTTTTTTAGGGGTTTGCTTTTGTTTGTTTTTTTGGGTTTCTCATGGTGAACGATGTCCCCTGTTACTGTTAAGAGTGTATGTCTAAATTTGCCTAGAGAGAAATTTGGGGACTTTACCCTTTTGCTTGGTTTTGGGTTTGTTTCTTCTTTGTCTTGAAGAATTTTTGTAATGTAATCTCCTCTTAACCTAGTAGCTCCAGTGTTGTTGTAATGTAATCTCTGTTCATGAAATGAAATTGGGCTCTGTTCCCATTGAATCTGAATTGAGTTAAGAACAGAGCAGGCCATAGAAGCAACTGTGCTTAACTGCTTATAGTTATAGCCTTTTCAGTCATTGACAACTGAAGAGGCAGAAGCACAAGCTCGTTCCGGTGTGGATGTTTGCTTCATCTTTAGCAGGAAAGGGGCAATGGCGGAATATGGTAAGGGATTTTGATTGGAGCAGAGTAAGCACGAACAGAGAGAGCCAAAAGGAGGGGGATGAATGGGTCCAGAATATGGTTGGAGTGGGAAGGAAAAGGAAGGATGTCTGGCTGTCAGCTACAATGTCCATCTTATCTATCAATCTTTCTAATCTCTGCCTTCATTTTCTAGAGGGTAATTTTTGTAATGGCGTGATTGTATCGTAACAAAGGTAAGGAGATGGGACAGCTTTAGGGTAAGGTGGAGTGAATATGCCTACTTTTTGGTGGGATTAGGAGGGTTGTCGTGTTTTGGCAGTAGAGTTAAAATTTCCACCACTGTGCATCTCGGTGGTGTTGGGTTTGGTTCTTCTGCTTGACCATTTCTTCTGCACCCTTTTGTGTATGGATGGGTATGGTGCAGAATCGTAATTTAGAAAAGTTGAATCAATGATGCGCACCTTTGGAAATTCTTTTGTTAGGTCTAGAAAACATAATTTTCAGAAAATGAAGGTCCAAGAGACATTTTCTAGGAACGAGAAGACTACTATATAGATGTTAGAGGAAGATTATGATGAAGCCCAACATAGTCATTGAGCCGAAGTACTCTAATGTTGTATCCGCTGTCTTAAAGGATCGCAAATTTGACTCAATAGTTGGATCGAAAGAATTGAGAAGTCAGCTCATTAATTGAGCGTTGCTGGTCATTCATTTCAGAACATCTTTCTTGCTTGGATGCGAGGAAGCGCAGGTCGCTGCAAACTGCCATCCAAGATTGCAGTGAGTCCACACCATTCATCATAGATACGAAATTGGAAATCGAGGAATTTATAATGCTATATAGCATTGGTGTTATAAGTTTTTTCTTTATGGTACAACTTGAAATTGTACATTTAACGTTATGGTACAACTTCAGATTGTACCTATACTTTTTGTACAAATTCTTTTACGGTACAACTTAAACTTGTACTTTTATGTGATGGTACAACTTCAAGTTGTAAAGTTGTACCATAACATAATGATACAAATTCCTTTATGGTACAACCTAAACTTATACATTTAATATTATGGTACAACTTCAAGTTGTACATTAAAGTACCAATACTATATAGCATAGTAGAAGTGCTCATTGGAAATCTCATATGGCAAAGTTTATGGCATTGAATCGTATGAGGAATGGATGGAGTTAGATTTGACTTTTTCTTCATAGTAGGCTCGGGGACGTGTAAACTTAAGTGAAAAGAAGGAATTGGAATGGACTAGTTTTGTGTATGGATGGGTATGGTTGAGAATGATAATTTAAAAAGAGATAGGCAGTCGAAGCAATGATGCACACCTTTGAAAATTATTTTGTTAGGTATAAGAAACATATTCAGGAAATGAAGGTCCAAGAAGCATTTTCTAGGAACAAGAAGACTCCTATTTAGATTTTAGAGATCATATTTAGATTTTAGGAGAAAACTAATGTTGAAGCCCAACATAGTCATAGTGTAGAGGTACTTCCATAAAGTGAGAAGACTACTATTGACGAGCTGCAACAACATCGACATACGTCTTTGACATGTACTCCCATATAGTGTACATTGTCTTTAAGGATTGCAACTATAACGCTATGGTTGGACCTGCCAAACCAAATTGATTAGCCAGCTCATAAATTTAGCATTGTTGCTCTTTCATTTTAAAACATCTTCCTCAAAAGCTGGGAAGCACAGGTCGTTGCGAACTGCCATCCAAGATTACACCGAGTCCACTCACTTCAACAAAAATAAGAAAAGTTCTTGCCATTGAATCGTATGAAGATGAAGTTGGATTTGAACGTCCTTTACTGTAGGTTATGATTCCATGTAAACTTAGTGAAATTAAAACGAATTAGGAGTGGGAAACGTATTCATTATTCTTGTATTGAAGCAAGAAACCTTGATTCCTTGTATACACGTACATCATTAGTATATATAGCTACGGTTCTCTTCATCCTGTGACCCTAATCCGTACATAAAGACAAAGTCTATATCATATCGTATACACACAGCCCGTACCATATGTTGGGATTCAACATATTTCTACTTAGATTGCGTACTGGTTCAGCTATTTAGTGCCAACTTCAACAAATATCAGTCAGGCAATTAACGAGATCCGTACCAGTTTATTAATGTTTTTTCCCCGTTCATTCAGACAGAAGGAATATATTTGCGCCATTTGGGCTCTGGGAAACTTATGAGGTAATAAGTAAGAGGTATAATTGCTTTAATTGGGCCATATTCGCTCCAAATTGGGCTGGGCCTGCTTAAACCAAAACCATAAAATTGACGGACCATCCAATCCAAATGGGGATTGGGGAGAGAAGATTGATTTGCTGGCTTGGGATGGCATATTGGCATGTGATGTGCTCATTTCATTATTCTAATGTCCCCTCATTTTATGTCCCTAACGTCTGGCTTTCCACCCATAACGTTTACAGGCTTTTAGTGGGAATTAAAGCTCCCACTTAGAAGAATAATTAAGGAGACATTAGTACTTAATTGTCGAATTAAGTCCCTTTGAAAAGTACAAGGCTAATGCCCGTACGTACTTAGTCCTGGAACAATGTCAGCTAGGTGCTGGCAACCCATGATATACCAAAACCAAATTTTTTTTATAGGCATACCAAAACCAAATTGAGTTATTAGAATCGGGAGCGGTTAGCATGCTAACCACATAAAGGGATTGGAAAAATGACACCCCTATCATTTAATACATTTTCATCAAATTTAAAACTCATTAATTACACATTGAAAACCATATTAATTACTTACTTTTTTTTTAATTTAAACCTACACTAAATACAATTTTCTCTCTCTCTGATTTTTCCTTTCCCAGCAGCCTCCGACCACACCAAGTTTCCTCCGACCGCCACACTTCGCCGATGAAATCAAGTCGACAGACTCTCCGACCACCTGCAAAAATATACTACTATAAAAAAATGTACCACTGCGCTGATATTTGTACCACCACACTGGTATTTGTACCACTGGACTAATACACACATATGACATTTGTACTAGTGCATTGATATCGCTACTAGTGCAGTGGTATAGCTACCAGTGCATTGGTAACGATACCAGTGCACTGGTACATATACCATATTATGAGTTTAAGTGCACTGATACCAATATCAGTGCAGTGGTACAAAAATCAGATATGGAAATCAAAAAGTCAGAACTGGAAATTAAAAACTCACGTGAGTGGGGCTTGGGGGGAAGGGCGGTGCAGCGACGGGGGATGGTGGCAACGACGCCGGAGGTTGGTGACCGTAGGACGGCGGCGGCTGGAGATAGGAGGATGGTGGTCGTGGAAGGCGCTGGAGGAGGACGACGGCAGGAGGGATGGTAGCAGCACAAGTGGAAGGCATGGAGGAAGAGGGAAGAGAGAGGTGATGGTGGCGGCGGCGGCGGCAAGAGGAAGAGGCCGGAGGGATGGTGGTGATGGTCGGGGAGGTTTTTGGTCGCTTCATAATACATCTGGGAGGGTTCTGGTGGAAAGGAAATCAAAATGGAGAGAGAAGGAGATGAAAGGGAGAGAGAAATGACAATTAATTGTGAATTTGGGGGGATTGCTTTTTTCAATGTGGATGAGAGAACCCAATTAGGTAATTAATGGCCAAATTACAAGATTAAAAAAATAAAAAATAAATTTAATTAATACTTGCCAATGATTGAAAATAAAATTGACCAATCATAAAGGGGTGTAAAAAATCCAACCATTTTAAGGGTAGGCATAGTATCCCATCCCCTTAGAATCAATGACAACATTAAATAGTAACACGATTTGACTATAGCAAACGGTTAGAGTAGTCAAAAGAATTACAGGAAATATCATATTGTTGGGAGAATGAAAGTGCAAGTGATTTTTAAGTTTGCTTTCCACTTTAGTTTATAGGATAAAGTGGTTAGTGGCCTTTTGAAAAAAAGTGTGGGCTATTTAATTTGACATATTAAATTGCACTACGCACTTGGCATGTTTGCGCGGCGCGTTCAGAATTGAATTTTTGGCTATTTAATTAAGTTTTGGAATCAAATTTTATTAATAAAATTCGGATAATTAATTGAATTTGAGTTTTTTGAAACGATGTAACCTTTGAGAAGGGAACTGTCGTTTTCTCACAATATAAGAGACGTTGGCCAGAAGTTTGAGTTCTAACGTTCATCTTCTTCCTATTTTCCTTCTAAAAAACACAAACACAGAAGTCCAGAACTTTGATTGAAGGGACTCCTGGGAGTGATTTGCCTAATTCCTACCAGCAAGTTTATAGTGGGGCCAAATAACACTCTAAGGAGAGTGATTAATCACGCCTTCAATTCGTTTTTCTCCATACCGTTTCCCTGACAATCTTAGAGTGTTATTTTCGTGAGACAATGGATTCTGGAGTGGAGAGCACTGTGAAGGCGTATGCCTCTGATTTAAACAAACTCAATCAGTTTGATGGAACCAATTTCAATCGCTGGCAAGAGAAGATGAAGTTTCTGTTGACTGCTTTGAAGACCGTGTACATATTGGATCCTGATTTGGTGCCGCTAGGAGAACCACAAGACACTGACTCTGATGAATTGAAGGTTGAACGCAAGAAGAGGAGTGATGACAGCCTGTTGTGCTGAGGATACATCCTCAATTCTCTCTCTGATCGCCTCTATGATCTGTACTCCCAGTTGGCGTCCCCTACTGAGATATGGACATCTTTGGAGAACCAGCACAAATCAAAGAAACAAGGCGCATATAAGTTTGTCACATTCCAATTCTTTGAATTTAGCATGACTAATACGCGTTAAATTCTGGATCAAGTTCATGAAATCCTAATCTTGTCCTCTAAGTTCACTGCGTTGAAGATAACTCTTCCTGATGCGTTTCTGGTGGGGGCAATTATTGCGAAGTTGCCTCCATCTAAAACAATTATAGGAAGAAATTACTTCATACGTCAGATGAGTTCATTTTGGAACAGATTCATAAGCACCTTAGGATCGAGGAGGAAACTCGAATCCGTGAAAATTATATGAATTCGGAGGCACCATCAAGTTCCAAAGTGAATGTTGTGGAGAACAAGAACGGAAAGAAGAGAAAGGCCATGAAAAATTCCAACAACCAGAAGAATATGAAGAAGAAGTCGACCCATATGTCTACTAAGAATTGCTTCAATAGTGGGCAATTGGGACATATTGTTCGCTTCTGTCCAATCCAAAGAGTAACCAGAATGAAGGGGCTGCAAGTGCAAATGTGATTGAGAAAGTTGAGCCTAGTGAAATTGTTGCAATGATTTCAGACTTACATGTGGGTATGATTCAAGAACTGCACATGGCTGGAGTCATCACCAGTACTGATTGTGGTATGATTCAGGAGCAACTGCTCACATTTGCAACAAGAGATCCATGTTCAAGGATGACACAGAGTCGATGGAAGGACATGAAGTTCTGTTGGGTGATCATCGCACGATCAAGGTCCTTGGATCTGGAACCGTGGAGCTCTTCTTCACTTCGGGCAAGAAAGTTGTTCTCACCAATGTCCTTCACGTTCCTGATGTTAGAAAGAACTTGGTTTCTGGTTTCATGCTTTGTAAGAAGGGGATAAAGGTTGTGATAGAATCTGATAGGGTGATTTTGACCAAGGATGGTATGTTTGTTGGGAAGGGCTATGTTAGTGATGGTATGTTTAAGCTAAGTATTGACAATGGTAATATTAATAATAAAGTTGATGGTTCTGCTTATATCGATGTGCATACAAATTATAGTATAGAAAGTACTCCGTTTGATTTATGGCATAATCGATTGGGGCATGTTAACTTTAAGACTCAGAAATACATGTCTAGAAATGGATTAGTAGTTTGTGGTGATGATAGTGGAGATAAATGTGAAATCTGTGTGCAAGCTAAGATGAAGAGAAAGCCATTTCCTAAGTTGGTTGACAGAAATTCATAATTATTAGAATTAGTATATTATGATATTTGTGAATTTCATGGTCAATTAACTAGAGGAGGATGTAGGTACTTCATTACTTTCATTGATGATAGTACTCGATTTACCTATGTTTATTTAATGCGAACCAAGGATGAAGCCTTTGATAAGTTTAAATTGTATAAATCTGTTGTCGAAACTCCAAAGGGTAGGAAAATACAAATCCTTCGAAGTGATAGAGGTGGAGAGTATTTTCCTAATAACTTTAACGAGTTTTGTGAGCAACATGGTTTGATACATCAAAGGACTGCTCCTTACACCCCACAATAGAATGGAGTAGCAGAAAGAAAAAAAATAGAGTTCTTTCTGACATGATTAATGCTATGTTGATTAATGCTAGTACTCCAAACAATTTGTAGGATGAGGCTTTGCTAACAGCCTGCCATGCACACAATAGGATTCCGTCTAAGAAGCTAAAGGAATCTCCTTATGAGTTGTGGAAGGGAAGAAAACCGAACTTGAGTTATCTTAGAGTTTGGGGCTGTCTTGCTTTCTATAGAGTCCTAGATCCTAAGAGAACTAAGTTAGGTCCACGAGCTTTGAAAGGTGTTTTTCTTGGATATGCAGATAACTCGAAAGCCTATAGGGTTCTAGATTTAGAATCTAATGTGGTTGTGGAATCGAGAGACGTTGAGTTCTTTGAGAACAAGTTTCAACATGACTCTGCAAATGTAGAACAATGTCGAGTTACTTCTGCAGATTCCCCATATGATTCTATTTCTACTCCCGCATTTGATATTGGTTCTAGTAGCAAAAGGCCTTTAGATGACCCTGTTGCTAATGAACCACAAAGAAGTCAAAGTGCTAGAAAGGAGAACAATTTTGGTCCAGAATTAATTGATCCTCAAGTTATAGTCTTTCTTGTAGAGGGAGATAGGTTACAATAGGTTATAAGAAAGATACCCATTTTGTTCCATCTTCAAGATGATCCTAAATCTTATCAAGAATCAATGGCTTCTAGAGATTCTGCTTTTTGGAATGAGGCTGTTAATGATGAGATGGATTCATTATTAACAAATAAGACTTGGGTTCTTGTGGATCTGCCTCCTGGATCTAAAGTCATTAGATGCAAATGGGTATTTCGGATTAAATAGAATACAGATGGATCAATACATACTTTCAAAGCTAGATTGGTAGAAAAAGGGTTTAGGCAAAAGGAAGGAGTAGATTGCTTTGACACCTATGCACCAGTTGCGAGAATCACTTCCATAAGAGTGCTTCTAGCTTTGGCTTCTATTTACAATCTGTTTGTACACCAAATGGATGTAAAGACGACATTTTTAAATGGTGAGCTAGATGAAGAAGTGTATATGGTGCAACCGGAAGGGTTCGTGTTGCCTTGTAATGAAGGAAAGGTGTGTAAGTTGCAAAAAGTCATTGTATGGACTAAAGCAAGCACCTAAGCAATGACACGAGAAATTTGATTCTGTTATCTTGGCTCATGGATTTTCTCATAACTCTACTGATAAGTGCATTTATTCAAAGTGCACAAATGAGTATATGGTCATTATATGCCTTTATGTTGATGATATGTTGATAATAGGAACTAACATGAAAGGCATAAATGAGACCAATGAGTATCTAACTTCATGATTCCAAATGAAAGATCTTGGAGAAGTTGATACTATATTGGACATCAAAGTAAAGAAACATAGTGGGGTTTTTGCTTTGAGCCTAATCATATTATGTCGAGAAGATGCTCAAGAAATTCGAGCATTTAGACATAAAGGAGGCTAACACTCCTTATGATGCTTCTTTTAAGCTTTGTGCGAATGAGGGAAGGGCAGTGGCACAAATTGAGTATTCTAGTGCTATTGAAAGTTTGATGTATGCAATGGGTTGTACTAGGCCCGATATTGCATTTGCGGTGTGCAAACTTTCTAGATTCACTAGTAATCCTAGTGCTGGTCATTGGAGAGCTATAGGAAGAGTCTTTGGTTATTTGAAAAGAACCAAAGATTTGGGACTTAGCCACTTCCCCGTTGTACTAGAAGCATTTTCTGATGCTAGTTGGATCACGAGCACTAGTGATAATAAATCCACAACATGATGGATTTTTACAGTAGGTGGTGGAGCTGTTTCTTGGGCTTCGAAGAAACAAACATGTATTACACACTCCACTATGGAAGCCGAATTCCTAGCCCTTGCGACGGCTGGAAAAGAAGCAGAATGGCTAAGAAACATGTTGTTAGATATAGAGTTGTGGCCACAACCGATGCCAACCATTTGTGTCTTTTGTGATAGTGAGGCTACATTGTCTAGAGCTTATAACAATATTTACAATGGTAAGTCTAGACACATTAGCCTAAGACATGATTACGTTAGGTATTTGATTATTAAAGGAATCATTTCTATTGTGTATGTAAGGTCTTGCAACAATTTGGCAGATCCTCTTCCGAAGGGATTGCCAAGAGGCATGATCTATGAGACATCCCAAGGGACGGGATTGAGACCTTTTGTATATTTAGAAGTAATGGAAACCCAACCTTTTCTTTAGGTATTCACTAATTAAAAGGTTCAATGTGGTAATAACAAGTTACTCTAACTGGGAACTAATTTATTGTACAAGTTTCTCTAAAAAATTTATTGTACAAGTAAATTAGTTGTAGGAAGGGTGAGTTACAGAACTCTTAATGACGTTCGTTTGGAATGTCACATATGTGAGCATTTGGAGTGGTGCCGCTCTAACAAAAGTAAAAGTCAACTTTTGTATATGCTAATGAAACAGGATCAACACATGGCCATAATAGTGCTACCCTTGTTGGTGGTTGTGTTTTAGAGAAGAGACAAGTACGTGTGTGGCATCTTTGTTCTAGCTTTGGATCTTGAATCCTAGGCTTAAGCCTGTCATTGATTCGTTGTAAACTTTGAGATGCTTACACTAGGTAAAGGTTCAAATTGAAAAAATACTTTTATGTATGCGTTACTTGTTCGAGGCAGGTATTCTCAACTCTTGTTGACTAAGTGGGGGGATTGTTATAGTAGTCAAAAGAGTTAAAGGAAATACCACATTTATGGGAGAAAGAAAGTGCAAGTGGTTTTTAAGTTTGCTTTCCACTTTAGTTTATTGGATAAAGTGGTTAGTGAGCTTTTGGAAAAAGTGTGGGCTATTTAATTTGACATATTAAATCGCACTGCGCACTTAGCACGTTTGCGCGACGCGTTCGGAATTGAATTTTTGGCTATTTAATTAATTAATTTTAGATAATTAATTGAATTTGAGTTTTGTGAAACGACGTAACCTTTGAGAAGGGAATTGCCGTTTTCTCACAATATAAGAGACGTTGGCCAGAAGTTTGAGTTCTAACATTCATCTTCTTCCCGTTTTCCTTCTCAAAAGCACAAACACAGAAGTCCAGAAAAATTGTTGCTTTCGGACTTTGATTGAAGGGACTCCTGGGGGTGATTTGCCTATCCCTACCAGCAATTTTGTAGTGGGGGAAAATAACACTCTAAGAAGAGTGATTAATTACGCCTTCAATTTGTTTTTCTCCATACCGTTTCTCTAACACAAACTGTATTGACCATTTGCAGAGTAGAAATAAAATTATATGTTAACAATAAATCAAAATTCCAAGTTAACTGAATGCAAGAAATAATAAAGAAGAGTTACAAGGAATCGAATGGATCGTTTGGAGATACGACATGGATGTGGATGATGAAATTAGATATTTGAGTCTTTTCGTTGATGTTATTGATTTACTTTTTTTGCTCGATCAGTTGTTCATTTAATTACATTTAGCCTCACAAAACACGAACTCAATATCCTACTACAACGAGAAAGATATAATCCAAGTGGATTACCATAAAAGACCAACAACAAACGTAACTAGCAACTGTTAGAAACCGAACAGAAAAATAGGGTTACCGATATGGCTGAGTCGCGAACTAGGTCGCTATCTTGAAGACGTTCGCGGCACTGCCTTCATTGCGCACGACAGACTATCAGTTGGTCGCCTTCAGGATAAAAAACCACTCTAATTTTGTTGCTCATCGGTTTTGTGCGAAAACCGGAGCTCTATGAATTCACTCTCTTTCTCGTGTTTATGCTCCCTGAGGTGTGTTTAGAGCGTCTGGGGGTCTGCTATTTATAGGAGCAGAAAATCCACAATATTCTTTATTTCTTTGAGAATAAGTCACATTTTAATTAGAGAGATAATTACTCTCGTAATTAAAATATAATCTATTAAGATAATTAATTCTAATTATCTCCATAATATTCCTTTTATTAATTATCCATCTTATTTTCATATTATAAAAAAATACTGAATAATTAATTAGAAAATTCATTTATAACGAGCTAACACACCCCACACTCCATATTAGTGGAGAGTAATTACCGGTAAAAAAAAAAGAGAGGAGGAATTGAGGAACCAAGATTCATGAACCGGCCAATTCTGGATGGAGACTCGTTCAACAGCAAAGCAAAACCCAATTCAACATACAAGTTAAAGCAACAGACCAAACACGAATACATAGGTCATTCCATTCCCAATTAGACCAATGAAGGTTCAAAGTTTTTTTTTGCTCGAATCTTTTTTTTTTCATGGCTGCTAATTGTCCCCACGTGTATGAAACAGTTAGGCAGACACATTCCATTCCATTTTTCCGAATTCCAAACCAAACCGGTTTGACTCTTTTGCCTTGATCTCTGACTCTGACTCTTTCTGTCTGTCTGTCTATCGTATGCATTCACGCCATTTTCCACAGGAGTCAAATGAAATGAGCATTCTAATTCAAAACTGGCATGCAACGTCCACCCTATATAAATTATAAAACCCAACAGATCCCCAACTGCCAACAGATAACCGAAGCAACAATCTTCTCATCATCCTCCCCTGCTTTCAAACAAAGAGCATCATCACCTTCTACAACATTAACAAATTCCAAATGGTAGCCATGATTTGCAGGTCGTTCAACAGCTTCATAATCGTTGCCAGTACACTGGTTGTTTATTTGAGCTG